ATATATATATATAAGGGGTTTTAGTGTACTTTAGAGACAGAGATACATATATGTGATTGTAAAGCCTTTGGCTTTTACTGTATAGATTAAGTACACAGAAATGCCACAGTTCCATGTAGTTTAAGACCTTATTACTACTGAGAGAAAATTCACACTGCTGCAATGTGGATTTTACTGATGCAAGTGTATTTTTTAGATATATTGTTGACATTTTTCTGTCAAATTACTGCTTTGGCACAAGAAAGAGCAAATAAGCATTAATACAAAGTACTAAGCAACATTTTCTGCAGTGGAAAAAGCAGGAAGAAAAGCAGAGTTGGCAGGATGCTATCAGTGAGCTAAATTATTTGGATTTGTGAAATCTGGAATTCAGTTCTGTAACTAAATTATAGCTATCTTAGAGACACAGTAAAAATTTCTAAACTAAAATACATGTATTGCATAAAGGTCAATAGCATATATGATCATTAATCTGTAGTTTCATAAATCATTTACAGTATGTTACAGATGTTTTTGCAAACAGGTGTGTCGAAGTTTGAAGACCTCCCAGATTTCTTATTTCAGCTTTTACAACCTTCCTATTAGTATTAGACTTTCAGACTACATACAAATAAATATTTTTGAATTTGAATATTATTAACTAGAAAATTGATCAGGATACTGAAAATGAAAGCTTTTTTTGTCTGTCTTTTTTTTTTTTTCAGTTTCAACTTTGCTAAATGTGATTCTCGTTTTGCACAATGCCGAACATTTCTGTGTTGGCTGATCATGACCCATCTGCATTATGTAACTGTCAAAAGCCTGTCTTGGCCTTGGATCATGTTGAAAGCAACTATTGTACAGAGGGTCACTTGCCATTTTTATGTAATTGTCCAGAGAATGTCCTAGTTCACATTTAAATGACTCTATGATACGAAATTTCTCCCAGCATTCAGTCAAGCTTTTGTCTTGCTCTGAATAGTTCCTATTAAAAAGCAGAAATGTATGAATAGAGAGATACCCCACTGCCTGTTTCAACCCACTGGAGGCTGTAACATGCTTGTAAATAAACAATATATATACATACATAAAAAGGAAGCTCAAATGATAAATTTTGGTGTGAAAAATAACATTTATATTTGGATAGGCTAGGCTGCTGTGGCCAAGTCAGTACTGCAACACCTATTCCTGAGAAAACTGCAATGTTTCTACGATACCTTTATTATTCCTCGTCCCTGAAATCTGGGTTGTTTGCTCTCTTATTATGGCCTTAAATAGGGCATAGCAAGATATGAACATTCATTACTGTATTGTATCTGCGGACACTGGTAGAGGATATCTGGGTTACACAGACCCTTTGAAACTGTGCTGAGGAGCCAGAGGAGCTGGAGTTTAGGCAAGGTACCGCAGTACGCCCGACCTTATAAGCCCTCTCTGAAGCACCGTAACACCAAGCGTTTTTATTTCATGGCCCCATTAGCTCAGAAATTGCCATGCTCCTGACCACTGCACAGTGCGAGCATTCCCTGTGTAAAATCGACTCACTATCAGTGCCGGTCACGGTGTCCTTCATCTCTGCAATCTCCACGGTTGAGTCACATATTTGTGTCACATGTTCACCCATGATGCCATAACTGGAAAGCACTATCTGTTCTCTCTCCGGTTCTCATTGTCATATTTACCAATTACATATACTATCCTGTTTAGACATCAGATGACAGACTGAAGAGTCAGACTACTCTGCACAGTAACTACAAAAGTGAATTTTTAATACCAACGCCAGCTTCTCTTTTCTGCCATTCATCAAGATCTGAAACATTAGTAAGTAAGAATCAAAATTCAGCAGCCAGATCTAGTAAGGCTCGGTACACCTGGTAGACACACCTGTACTGCACATTTACATGTCCATACTTCTCTTTTTCAATGGCTTCTAGATGATTTTTCATCAGTAACATAAATCAGGCTTTGAACTTTAACTGCAAGGCCTGGCACCTGATAGGCTAGAAATGAGCTAAAAGCGAATTCAAAGGAACATGAAAGTTGTCAGGTATCTCCACCACGTTCCATAATGAATTAAAAGGTTCCTTTTATTCAAATTACAGAATTCTGTATCACAGATATCTGTGGCAAGTCACACAGCTTTAGCTTAACTAAGGGATGATCATGCGGTTCTGAGAATCAGCTTCACTTGTAGGATCTTTCGCAAGATCGCTGAGGCAATTTGTAATATCTCACTAGATTTGCTACAGTTCATTCCTAAATTATTTTATTACAGATATACAGACATTAAGGAAGTATAAAAACTAGATGATCTAGTTTGAATTTCCATCTATCACTGACCCTTAAATTACATACCTGCCATCTGAGAAAGTTTCAACAGTCTCCTCAACGCATTGCCTGGCACGAGGTGGCTGCTCTGAACTCACACCTTCGTCTCAGTGAAACAGAGAGGTGCAAAACCTTCTGAAGAGACTGTCCAAGCCACCACAAGATGACACAGTGGAGCCACCTCCTCCTGTTGCTGCTCACGTTCCTTATCCCTTTTAGTAGAGAATTCTCCCTGGGCATTTTTATAATGATTTATACACTTACTGTAGACTTTCAACTTCCTTGTTTTGGTGTGTTCACATGAGCTCTGTAAGTACTATTTCAATATCAGTCTCATTAAAACTTCAAGAAGAGATAAAATTGCCTCTTCATACACATATTCTTTGTGTAGCAATATAAACATCTTTTTTCCCCCAGGGTCCAGAATTACAGTCATTCTAGGTCACTCTGTGTAACTGCCTTTGGCTCATCATTACTTAATGTTTTATTGGCCTCTGTATCATATGCACGTTTTATCAGATATGGTCTAATAATTAATTCGAAGTTATCAACCCCAATGTTGAATAGAACAGAAGTGAGTTCTGTTTTCTGCAGAACCCTTTCACAGATCCCATTCATCGATGAAAATCTGGACATATTTACATAAATGTCACAAATTACAAAAATACATATCTATATAAAGATACACAATTTTATGCACGTTTTAAAAATCTGACAGCTCACTTCAATCCCTCTAAAGTCTGAATCATGGATAAAGCATATTGCTGCATTTTCAATCTTAATGTCATGGAATACTTAGTGAAAAACCTTACAGGTTTTTAAAAAAAAAAGTTAAAAAGATTTATTTTTAGAAAATAAAATTCAGTAAAACGTTGATTGGAATCGATTATATTTCTACCTTTTAATTCTTAAGGAAATTAATCGTGTATCTGTTTTCTGTTATTTTGACTCACGCTGACCAGCCTGCTGTAACAAGGGATGTCTCAGCAGTGCTATTTCAATGTAAATATCATATTTTTTTTGAAATTATATTTCTATATGTATTACCCTGTTGACTTTTTAATAGCTAACACAATAACATCAGATCTGGTTTTACAGAAACATAAACTCGTAGTAACCCACTGTTTATACATTAATGGAACATACTGAAGAGTATCTCTGGAAATTAAAAAGCACAATATAGACCAAACTCATGTCAACTTTGCCTAGCGAAAACAAGGCTTGTGATGGGACTCCAAGATGTGCAGGAAGCGTAGATGAGTGAGAGAGGATGAAATTTAAAATGAAGGAAACCGACCAAATGCATTGGTCAGTTTAAGAGTTTATAAGGTTTTTGGTTTTGTTTGTATGTGGCTTGTTTTTTGTCTGGTTGTTCTGTTTTTGTAAAAACACAGTTTGTGGATTCCAAACTGTTTTGCTCACAGCATATCTGGTTTCAGACTCAAACACAGTTGTGTGGGAACACCGCGCCATGGCTTGCCGATCTGCTCTGAAAGCAGCACCTCAGGCTCCAGCCCAGCCCTGTCTCCCAGGCGGGCGGGCTGTGGGCCTCGGGAAGCGGCACCTTGTGAACTGCAGCTACTCGCTGACATCATCATCCTTACCCAGCACCAAAGGGGCTGCGCAGAGCTGTGGTGGTTTCTCAGGTGACAGGCTGCGGCGAGCCCCGCACGCCGCCGGGCTGCCGGGCCGAGCAGCGCTGGGAGCGTGGGAGCGCCCGCCCGCAC